AGTATGCTGATCTATTGAAAATTATCTATATGTGGCAATTACCCTGAAGCAATGATGAGATGATAAGGACGTGGGAAACTAGAGTAAGGGAAACAGAACAACCAGAACAATTAAAATGCTGACACATTGTAGAAAAAAAATGTCACCAATGTTACTGAACAATTTGTGTAATCTCATTGGCATGAGTCAGGAACAACTCATAGCTGACCCTCCATTTGTTTTTCTGAAGCTGTAAATCACACGGGAGGAAACTACCCATCTTTATCCCAAGGAGCCCCTGATTGGAACCTCTAGAGGTTCCTAGTCTTCACTTTCCATTCTTGGGTAACTCCCTCCAAATTATGGTGTAGCTCCCTACAGATTATGCCATCACAGAGCTACAGAACTTGCCACATTTGCTGTGTAAACTCTCACCAAAATACAATAAAATTTTGTTAAAAATATTTTTCTCAGAAAAACTGATAATTTTATTTAAAGAAATGTCTACCCAGTTTAATGTCTTTAGACAGTTCTTGTAACATAATGCATATACCCTTCCTTTTGAAAGAATCTAATGAATAATATGGAAACTTTCCCCAGAAGCAAGCTCAAAAATTTTTACCAATCTTAAGGGACATTTGGAGACTATCTATGGGACTATGGTCAGTCAATGAAGTAATCCTCTATATTCCGAGTAGCTGTAATTGTGCAGGGTAAACATAAGTATTAACATTTGTTACTAAAGGCTCCCCTTGGAGAAAACCTTTGAAAGATCACATACCTCTTTAGGAGAAAGAATGGAAATGTAGTCTTCATATATTATCCTTGCTTTCTCCTCAATCATAGTTTTATTAGCTTCTTTTTTCAGTTCCTCACAGGCCATCCAGAAGAGCATATTTTCTTCACTAAATTCTGTCCGGAGGAACTCACGGAAAGTGTTTCTTCCTGCTGGTGTGACCATTAACTTGTCAAAGGACTGGGCCCAGGCACTGACTTCCTCCAGAGTTAGGGATGCACTTAGTAGACCAAGAGAAAAGAAGGAAATGGGAACATGTTACCCAAAGCCAATTCAAATTTCATTCCTAGAAATGAGTATCTTTTCCCTTTTGAGGATAGAAACTACATGCACTGGGGCCCTTAGAAAAGAGAAAGAAAGAGCTCACATCCTCAAATCTTGGTTAAAAGCTTGCAAATGGTTTAGCTGGAATCCATGGCCACTTGACAAACCAAGGAGCTAAGAATATGCCTGTTTACATCTAGACAATCATGGCTGTATATTGAGCTCTTTTAAGCAAAGAAAGAGTAAAAAAATAAAATAAAAAATTGCACAACCACCTGACCAAACTCGTACTTCCTCTCATTCCAGACAGAACAAAGTCAGACTTAACATTTTCCTCTAGAACAGTGTAGCTGTGGCGACTGAGTGTGTATATTTTAAAGTTATAGCTGAGAAAGAAAAAACTGTATGTAATACAAATTCAAGTTATGAAGGGTTAACAGTGAAATGAATTCCTGTGAGCCTGACCAACAAAGCTGCATTTACCTGTGAGCTATTTTCACATGCTTCTTTCTAACCCTTCCCCAACAAGGGAAATGTTCTCCACTTTGTGCTTTAGTTTTCCTGGATTGCATATGTTTCTAAATCATGCTGAGCTCAGAAATTGTTTAACAGAAATCCTTACTGTCTCATTACCTTTGCTCTTTTGTTTCATAGTTTTTACTTGCATGTATTCTTTACGATTTTTTTATAATATCATAAAAATGGCTTGTGGCATATTGTCTTGGAGCTCTAGCAGCACATGGTTAAAATCCAACAGCTGCTCTCCCAAGAAAGATGGGCAGTCTCTTCCCCTGTGATTTACTGCATCTGAACACCTGCTGGAGGGTCAGTTATGAGTTAATTCCAACTCAACAACAACAACATATGTTGTTTTATGCCGCTTTTCCCCCCTCTACGCAATGCTTCTAAAAGTCACGCATGTTACATGATGCTGAGTGAAATATCTCAGTCACAAAGGGACAAATGGTATATGGTGCCACTGTAGTTGAATGATGCTGACATCAGGGTGGGGGTAAGACTAAGAAAAACTGGATAAATTATGTTTACTGCATTGAAGTCTATGAGGGAGAGAATAGTTTAAAAGTACTATATTTTAGGGCATTATGTTGATCATAAGAGTA